TGGATTGGTCATTCTCTCTTTGTCTTTCTCGTCTCTCTCTCTCTCTCTCTCTCTCTCTCTCTCTCTCTCTCTCTCTCTCTCTCTCTCTGTAGTCGGCCTGGGCCACCGCCGCTGCCCACCTCCGCTCGGCCTCCACCCACCTCCGACCACCTCCACTCGGCCGCCACTCGACCTCCGCTCACCTCCGCTCAGCCTCCGCTCGGCCTCGGCCCACCCCGCTCAGCCTCCGCCCACTTCCCGTTCCACCTCCGCCCACCGCCACCCACCGCCGCCCACCTCCACTCCGTCTCCGCCCACCTCCTGTCCACCTCCTCCCGCCATCTCCTCTCTCTTCCGCCTCCTCCAGCCATCTCCTCTCTTTCCTCCCCACCTCCGCCACTTCTCCTCCACCTTCGCCACCTCCCATCCGCCTTCCCCGACCAATCTCCCCTAGGCCTCCGTTGCCCGCCTGTAAAAAGAAAGGCAAACAAAAACAGTGCGCGTCCACCTCCCCTCCGCCAGCGTCGAACTCCTGTTAGCCTCTGTCCACCTCCCTCCCACATTGGGATCACCAATCTCCCCTCGGCCTCCGCCCACCTCCCAACCGCCTCGTCCCGCCATGTCCTCGCTCTCTTTCCTCTCAGCCTCCACTCACCTCCGCTTTGGGCTATGTTGTCCGCCTTCTCCCGCCAATCTCCCCTCGGCCTCCGCTGCCCACACATCCACGACCCCTCTGGCCGCAAGGCAAACAAAAACAGTGCACGTCCACCTCCCTCGGCCAATGTCGAGCTCCTGTCAGCCTCCACCCACCTACAACCATTCCTGAAAGTAGCTGACAGCAAACATATGGCACCTGCGAAAGCATAAGCCTGTACACGTGGTGAAATTGTGTTTTGGATCCAACTGCAGCTGCTCCAATTCAGCCGGGCCAGTGGACACACAAACACAACCGCCTCAACACCATGATCTCATCCGCCTACGTTGACTCCCTCCCCATATTGGGATCACCAATCTCCCCTCGGCCTCCGCCCACCTCCCAACCGCCTCCTTCCACCATGTCCTCTCTCTTCCCTCTCCTCCTCCGCTCACCTCCGCTCTGGGCTATGTTCCTCTGCCCGCACATCCGCCATTCCACTGGGCAACAGGGCTATGTTCCTCTACCCACACATCTGCCATCCCACTGGACATCCTGTTGCCCGCCCCTTTTTTCTTTTCTAACAATGCGCGCCTATCCCCTGGGTCTCCGACAACCTCTTCTCCACCTCCGACGACCTCCTGTCAGCCTCCGCCCACCTCCCTTCCGCCATTGGGATCTCCCATCTCCCCTTGCCCTCCACCCACCTCGCATCCGCCTCCTCCCACCATCATTCGAATGGAAGCCCCAGTAAACGGTGGAAGTAACTCCCGCTGCGCATCCCACTGTGCGCACCCACCTCCCCTCGGCCTCCGTTGACCTCCTGTCCACCTCTGCCCGACTCTCCTCCACCCGCTACCTCCACCCACCTCCGCAAGGCCCCCGCCCGGTACCTCCGCCCACCTCCGGTCGGCCTCCGCCCACTGACTCCACCCACCTCCAGTCGGCCTCCGCCCGCTCTCCTCTCCGCCTCCTCCCGCCATCTCCTATCCACCTCGGCCACTTCTCCTCTGCCCATCTCCCCTCCGTTGGGGCTCACCTCCCGTCTAACTCCTACCATCCGCTACCTCCACCTACCTCCGCTCGGCCTCCACCCGCTCCGCCCGCAATCTTCTCTCCATGCGGCAAAGACGATTCCTTGGAGGGAGGGAGGGGAGGGGGGGGGGAAGGGAAGGGGGGGAGAGAGAGAGAGTGATCTGTTTTCTTTTTTCTTTCTTTTCTTCCCCCTACATACATTGAGAGAGAGAGAGAGAGAGAGAGTGATCTGTTTTCGTTTTGTTTTGTTTTTCTCCCCCTCCATGCATAGAGAGAGAGAGAGAGTGATCTGTTTTCATTTTCTTTTTTCTTCCCTCTCCATACATTGAGAGAGAGAGAGAGACAACGGGGGCGACGGAGGGGGAGAAGGACGAGGAAGAGGAGGGGGAGGGCGACAACGACGAGGACGGCAGGATAAAGCAGCCTATGCTGCTATCACTTGCTAAGCATGCCCGGCAAAGGGAAGGGGGGGAGGACGGCGGGAAGCATCGCGGATAGAGGACCGTAGGTTGAACATGTAAGGCGGGAGAAGGCAATAAATATATACATAAAATACGTGAAAATGGGACAGGACGACGATAATACGTCGATGAACACAAGAAAGAGAGAGGAGGAGGAGGAGGAGGAGGAAAAGGAACAGCAGGACGAGACGGGAAGGGGAAAGCCAAAAAGGAGGGGAGGGGAGGGAGGGAGAAAGAGATGGAGCTGGAGGAGGAGGAGGAAAGGGAAGGGCAGAGAAGGGAAGGACGAGAAGAGGAGGGGAAAGCATAGAGGAGGGAAAGAAGGGAGGAGACGAAAAGTTGGGGGCAAAGTTGGCACCACCTGGCTGTGCCACGTGGCGCAAACTTTTTCGGTTTTTCCCTTTT